CAATACTAAAATTGGTAGATAGGATAGGCACCTTTAATTAACTATTACTTATTACTAATTTACTGTTGCTTCACTGCTTCAGCCTACACAACCACGGATTTARGGGCACGGGCGCCGCACACTATCCTGATGTTATTTTAAATTTTTATTTAAATATATCGGAAATTTGAAATAGTAATAATCAATCATAGATAATATTATTAATATTTATTATCTATATGTGATCAATAATAAAAAAAAGAAAAGTATAAATTAACGGTTCGTTATTTTTTTATAATATGTTATTTTATATTTTTACAAATCTAAAATATATTTTATTTAATTTTAATTTTATGTTTTTACTTGTTTTCACATTATTATATACATGTACATATTGTGGCTAATAAACCTAAAATAATATTTTATTATTTAATCAAGTATCGAGTAGAGAAATGTGTACAATATTTTTTTTTAAATAGGGGCACCAAATTTTTCACAGCCTATCTGCTATGGGCACTGTAGATCTTAATCCGGGCCTGTGTATAATAGTAATATAATGTTCTCAAGTTGTCGAGTGATAAGTACTTAATTATTACCTTTTATTAGTACCTATTACTTACCTACATTGTATATTATATAATATAGGTATTAATAGATTAATACCTATATATAATTATAAATTATTGTACATATGTATTTTAAACTAATTACTAAACTTATTTTTTAGAAACCATATTATAATAAAACAGGTGTGTAGGTGTGTTCTATATCACCGCTCATTTTCCGGGAGCAGGAGTTGAATTGTTAGTCGTATTTATTATTAATGTTGATCAGGGAGTCAATATCCATTCTTTGATGTTATTTCTATCGAAATCAATTACAGGATAGTTTTCTTCGGTCTTCCCTTCCWAGCGGACAATTCCCCATCCATCCATAAGGGTATTCCCTCTAGACAGTATATTTAAGTCATAATATATGTATAATAACAGATTTGATTAAAATTGCTCCAGACGTTCCAGAGTTATACTGGAACATACATATTTACATGCATACTTTCATTTGTATTTTTATGATAATATAATAATTAGGTACAGTGATATATTAGTGTTGGTGCTGTACTTCATATTAAATTTAAAAAACAAATCGCGTGACGATCGGATGATCAGTGGTTCCAGAACTAGCTCGTTCGAAATACTACAAAGTATACTTACCCGCGTTCAGTCTTCTATAATACCATATATAAATAAATAAATATATATGTGATACATTAAATCTACATTATACTCGGTCAAAATAAAAATGCACGTCCGGACCGATAATAATAAACACACGATAGGTTTTTAATTTTAACACAAGTAGTACATTTTGAACCAATTGTGTTAGATGTCAACGGCCGATTAATACATTTTGCGTGTTGCGCTGCATCTGTTATAATGATGCATTGTACCTACACGAATTCATTCATGTTTACTTCCGGATTGTGCGGAAGCCATTCAAAACGTATAGYGGAGGGCTACCGATATGTAAAATAAAAAAAAATCATTTCATTTCCTATCACAAAAAATAAAACTAATAAATTACCGTAATTCGTTCGTCCGAGATTCATTATTTCACTGCAGTCGCATTCCGGAAGACTGTGCCGTGGGTCCAGTCTGACGAAATTGTAGTATATTATTGTTAATAGTTGTAATTTTTTCGTTTGATGATCGAAGGATTCAGTCAAAAAAGTTCCATCTGCAGGTAACATCACGTATAATGTTTTATTTTAATTTAATATGTATGTGTAGTATAACTATGTCAGTAGGTATTATATATTATACTATTGTCTATTATATAGTCTAGGCCCTAGGCGTATAGGTCGTAGGGCGACAGCGATGAATTGACCCGACGAGATACTACTGGATACTGGGAAACTTCCTGATGACCGRTTTTCGTTATATAACTCTGGGCGGTGAGGTATACTATATACCTCGACGATTTAGACTAAAAATTATTTGATCACAATAAACTTTGTGTCTGCTTTGTTTTTCGTCATATATTATGAATTTGACTGCACTAAATATATAGTTTTAGATATACTTAGATTTTTGACCTACATTAGTAAATTTATATTTTATTTTAAACTGTAAACATTTTTATACTACTTGTTTAATTT